GTATTAATGACAATTGACTGTGATTTGTGTCTTAGACCTCCTCAGTTCTCTACCTTGACAATTTCTTCTGCATTTGACAAAGTTATGGGTACAGTGAGCCTCTGTGGTGCTGGAGTCTCTTGCCACCTTGCCACCCACCTTCCGGCTTATGTCAGATGCTCATATTTCTTAGTTCTGTGCACAGCAGCAAACATGGACGTTAAACTCCATGTAATGGCCACGGTGGTGGGAGTTGAGGAAAGTGAACCATCAGCAGTGAGAAGCTGCTATTTAGTGGCACAGGGAAGGTGTCTCCTTTGGTGGTGGGCAAGAGCCAGCCAGCTCAGGGAGAAGAAGTGAGAGATCTCTTGGCATGGGGGAAGCTTTGGGCTGGAAAGTGATCGTGGAATCTCTATGGTGGGAGAGATGCTGGGCTGGCACCTGAGGTGCCAGTGGTCTGCCTGTGGTCCTGCCACTTCTGCAGGACTTAGATCCCCTATGCTTTGTATTTGAGATGTGAGATTGGTTCGAAGGTGCAGAGCCACAAGTAGCCTTGTCCCCTGTTTGAGGATCCAATAAACTCCAGAGAGAAAAATACTCAGCACAGTGGGACTGGACCTACTTTTTGATCCTGCCAGGGAAAGACAGTTTCTCTTTTGAAGCCTGATTTTATGCTGAGCAATCAAGCAGGGACAAGGTGCAGAGAAATGAAAGCTTGCTGTGTTTGCCCTCCCGTGGTAAAGGAGTGAGGAACCAGTTCCCCTCCTTGGCAGCTTCTGCTGAATTCCTCATCTTCTCTCTGGCTGTTTGTTCTCAAAATAATACAGGTCAGATGTTGGATTTTTTTTCTTTTCTTTTCTCTGTCAGTAAAACAAGGATCTTGACAAATGTCTTGGGGGGTAATCAGGTATTTACAGGAACTGTCATGCTGAGCTGCTGCTGGAAGCTAACATCAAAAAATAAATATATTTTTATTAATAATCTCAACACTTCTTGAATCAGGAAATGAGCCTAAATCAACACAGCATCCATCCTCTCCAAACTCAGCAAGAGAAAACATACTCACCCCAGCTAATGGGGTAATGCATACAGAGCCTGCTCCAGCACAGATGCCTTGCAGACAGGAGCGTGCCAATCCTCGCAGCTTCCTCTGGGGCAGAGGAGTGCTCCTATTTATGTTTTATTTACCCAATTGGAAATGAAATGTTCAAGTGACTTGCTTAGAGGAGCCATGTTAGAAATCAGTGTCAGAGCCAGACTGCCAGATTTTCCTTTCTAATGGCTTATCAGACCTTTCCTTACACTGCTAGAGTCGTGAGCAGACTTGTATATGCTCAATAAACACTCGTTTTGCAGCATTCCTCTCTGTTGATCCTCAGCTCAATTTTGCATTGCTTTTTAGTGCCTTTTCCACCCACCTTTGGCTGCAGCAGGGAAGAGACCCATTATCTGTGGGGTTCACAGAGTGACAGTGTTCACTGTGATGGTTCCTTTGGGCTCTGTGACTGCTTCTAGAAATGCCGTGTGCCTGCATTTCAAAGGCTGTGGGGCAGCCTGTGGGTGAAAGGTTGATCACATGCAGTGGCTGCTTTCCCACTTAACAGGGTGACTCCGGTGTCTCTCTTCAGATTACCATCCCTCGAGGAAGTGATGGGTTTGGCTTCACAATCTGCTGCGACTCCCCAGTCCGTGTGCAGGCAGTGGACTCTGGTAAGACATCAGATGATTTTTATCCCTCTTAGTTTGAATGAATGACTCTGCTCCTTTTTTGCTTCCTACAGCATGTTGTGATTCAGAAGCTCCCATGACTTGCACGACTCTGGTTACCTCCAAGAAACTTCACTTAATGAATTCTTTGTTGCCTCTAATGAGGTCAGAGGCTGCTGGGTTAGCACCGTGTCACTATTTTGGCAGTGTGTTGCAGTAATTTGCAGAGATTTTGTTCCTTTCCCTCTCCAGCCTGAGAACTGTACAGCTGGTTGGGAGACCTATGGAAAGCATCTGGGGGGGTGTGTCAGACAGGGGCACAGAGGGGAGCAGGATCACAGGAACCCTCAGGGAACACTGAGAAGATCCTCTTGGTGTGGACCTGTGGGTGGACTTGGTGTGTCTGTTGTATGCTGGCGCTCCCCACTGCACACCAGGAAACATGGAAAGTTCATGCAATTTGTGAGCATTTATGGCTTTGTCCCAGCTGCTGTGTGTGTGCATGCATGCGTGTTGGAAGGTGAAGCTCCAGGCTAGCTTCCCCCACTTCATTTTCAGGTGTGGGTGTTAGAGGAAACAGATTGGGTTTGGAGGAGTGAGTGGTGCAAGCTGTGAAGCTATTTGGGTGTCTCTGAGCCCCAGGGCTTCTCCTCCCCCTCATACTCTCAGCTCTCTGTCAGGCAGGTGACTGGCATTTGTCTCTTCTCTCCACAGGTGGCCCAGCAGAAAAGGCAGGTCTGCAGCAGCTAGACACGGTGCTACAGCTGAACGAGCAGCCTGTGGAACACTGGAAATGTGTAGAGCTGGCACATGAAATCAGGTGAGTATTCACCCAAAACATCAGTGCAGGGCTCTGGGAGAGATGGTTTGATGGTGCCTAGGGCAGGGAAGCAGGAGCTTTGAGTGGCTACAGGAAGGGGAAGGCTTTGAGGGATGCAGGAGACTGGGAAAGGATTCTCTGGGGTAGAAGAAGAAAGGATGCAGGGGCTCGGGAGGACAGAATGAGGGCAGAGGCTTTAGAGGGAGGAAGGACTGCAGGGCTCAGGGCTGTCTGAATGATGTGGGGTGCCTCACTCCCTACTGCTCCATCTCTGACTTGCCCCATGCCACCTCTTTCAGGAACTGTCCCACTGAGATCATACTACTGGTCTGGAGGCTTGTCCCACAGGTCAAGTCAGGACATGAAGGCATGATCCGCAGATCATCCTGCAAGTCTGCTTATGACCTCCAGTCACCACCCAACAAGCGGGAAAAGAACAGCACCATGCCACCAAGGCCCGAGCAGCGCCGGAGCTGCCACATACTGTATGATGGGAGCGATGGGCTGGTGTTGAACAGCTGGGAGAGGTACACGGAGATTGGCAAGCGGAGCCAGAACACCATGCCGCCCCTGTCTCGGGTCCCCTCCACTGCAGACCAGAACTACATCATCTTAGCACCTTTGAACCCAGGGAGCCAGGTAGGACTGCTTCCCAGCCCCACGCTCAAGTTACTGCAGGTGGCTGTTGGCTTTGCTTGCTGGGTCCTCTCTTGGCCTGTGCTTCAGCCTTATCGAGCATCATCTCTCAATGTTTGCTAGAGCACATTCCATTTTTACCAGCCAGACCTGTGTCCCTTGGTGGAACTTTCGCTATTTTTCTAAACCATTTACCACTAGGACTGTAGAGCTGGGGTGAATGACCTGTTTGCTGCCTCCTCCCAGGGCTCACTCAAGGGGTAAGTTTGGGAAGTGTTTCCAATGCGTGGACCACAGTGCAAGTCATTGCTCGCATTTTCTGCTGACAATAGGGCAAAAATCATTTTCACCTCTCTGGAGTGCTTTGGCTTTGCTGGGTTTGGCATGCTAAAATTTGCAGCTAGATGTTGTAAAGTCTGTCTCTAAAGCCTGCTTCAGGTGACTGTGTCCTTTCTGGGTTGTGTCTTATAGCTGCTGAGGCCTGTCTATCAAGAGAACAACGCTACTGTGGGTAAGTTGCTGATGTACTGAAAATACTGCTCAGAGCACCTAGTAGACCTATGCATGGTCTTTCTAGCACTAGTGAATCCTTGCCCTTAGCCCTGCAGTGCTGCAATGGAGTCCTTCACATTTGAGGACAGTGGCAGAAGCCTGGGGCTTTTGGGTAGTATAATCTTCCTACTCTCTATGTCAAACATAAAAGCAAGAGCCCTACCCCCAAGCCCAGAGGCGAGTACAACTGCTAATGTCACTGGATGAGCTTCATGGTGAGAAGGCCTCTGTGGAAGCTCACAGAGTGGCTGAAGAAGGGAGGCTGGTGGCAGGGACTTTCCATCAGGAGCATGATGAAAGCATAAAGAGTGAAAGTGCTAAGCATTGTTGTTGTGGCGGTTCCCCAGATGTGTCTTGGGCCTGTCTGTGACGTGTTTAGCTTCTCATGCATAATGCCTTGCTGGGGGTGCTAATACTGTGGCCCCTGCTTTGAGTTTCATTTTATTACTAAGGGAGTGAGGATGGCCATGACTCAGATTTGTACAGACATTAGTGCAGGTTGAAGTGCCAGGTTTGGGGAATACTCATTTCCTGGGCTGCTGGCAGTCTCTGGACTGAGCTCTCCTCAAAAACCCTTTGAGGCATAAACTCATTTTCTGCAACAGGTATGCTTGGTCTTCCTGGAGAACTGGGTATGGATGGGCTTGCAGGAAGAGTGGGGTGAGATGTGCAGCAGGGCGCTGCCTGAAACCTGGGCTGCGAGAGGGGGAGCAGAGACTAATACAAGGTCTCCCTGAACTAGATATCAACAGGTGACTGTCATTTCAAGTGGGAAACTGGGGACAGAAACAACCCAGGAACAGTGAGGCCTGGAGATACTCCCTAGGGTGTTCACTGGGTGCTGTTGAACTTGCAATTGCAATTTTCAGCATGCCCAGTTCCATGCAGAACCAGCTCTTGCCAGTGTGTTGATTCAGGAGCTTTGGGAGGCCATGCTTGCACCCTGATCTGTCAGGATGCCCTTAGGATGAGCTGTGTGTCTGTAGCAGAGCTGACCTCCTAGGCATGATCTTGCAGGAATGACTTTAACTCAGCAGTCCTTCACTGGTGTGGGCACAGCTATCAGCACAATTTCCAGCTAGAAAATTTTGTGCTGCCTGTAAAGGTGGGGCAGTGTCCAGAGAAGGCGAAGTGTAGGGCTGGCAAAGCCATGGTGGGCATGCCGGGGAGCAGGAGGGAGCAGCGTGGGTCTGAGGCCCCTGTGCCTTGGATGCTCCCAGCCCTGGAGCCCTGTGGCCAGAAGAATTTTCCGCAGCTCAGCTGCAGGGGATGTTTTGTACCGTGGATAATTGCAACTCTTTCCTGCTGTTTGTGGATCCTGCGAAAAGATGAGCTGGACCAGGGGGACTTGTTCTTACAGCAATTTGAAAGACTTGGGCTTATTCCCATAACAATTCTTAGTGATTGTTTTCAGTTTATTTAATGTTGAGTCTTCAGAGGGAAGAATGCACTAGTTAACCTGAGCAGTGATTTAAGTGCAATGGAGCGGAGCTGGCCGCCAGTCACACAGTGACAGGAGCTGACACTTCGGGCAGGCTGGATGTCTTTCTGTGCCACTGTGCAGAAAACAGGACTTGTGCAAGTGGTTAATTCCTCCGATAAAAGAAGGTGATTTAGGGATAAGAGGAAAAGCAGATCCTGAACAGCCCAGACAGATTGTATCTGTTCTGTGTTGAGCTGTCTCTCGTGTTTTGATTTTATCTGGCAGTGCAACCATGAAAAAAGGAAAAGAGAAAATGTCAGGATTATTGCACTTAGAGGTGGAAACAACCTTTTAGGTCATGAGGGCCACCCTCCGGCAAAGGCAGGCTGTTAAAGCAAGCAGTAAACAGCAGGTCTGGATTGCCAACAGAGCACGGTCTGGCTCTACTGGCGTTTATCTGAAAGTAAATGTGCTATTTCCTAATACTTAATGGAATATGTAATGTTGGGTACATTCATATATTTGCTTTGGACAAGACCTTATCTGCTCTGAGCCATGTTCAGAAGTGTTTTGGCTCATTTGTGCTTGGGAAGGTTATGGGTATCCGTTACAGCGCAAAGGCAGAAGCCACTGTGCAGGAAGCTGCTGTGGTGGGAGCAGAAATGCCTGGGGCTGGGTGGCTGGAAGGAGGGATACTGGGGGGTCTCTGCTGGGACACCCCTCTAGCAGGGGGCTGCAGGAGGGTTTGCTCGTAAATGTTTCTGACATATTGCTGTGGGGGAGGATCTTGGGCTAATGCTCCAGTTTCTCACCTGGATATGTTAAAATCCAACTGGAGAGTTCTGCCTGCTGGACCTGTGCTGGTTTGGTTCATTGGCTTCAGGGGGGAGGGAGGAAATACTTCAATTTGTCAGTGGGGCTTCTCTTGAAGAAGACATGAATTTTTGGTTAGAGACATATTCAGTTCCTGTTGGAGCTGTTTTCTGCAAGTTTTAGGACAGAGTGCAGGTTGCTGGTGCCCAGCAGGATGTGGTCTGGGGTTAAGGGCTCTTGGGGAACATGAACCTCTCCCACCTTCTGTCCCCAGCATGGTAAGTCCTGCTGCTGCTGTAATGGGAGTTTACATATGGCAGGAGGGCACTGTGGGCCTGGCAACATCAGGGAGGGCCAAAATTGTATGCTGGGGCCACCAGAGAATGCTGAGGCCCTCGGGCCTAACAGATTAATGTAAATGAGAAATATTTCACAATTGCTCCCCACTCGGCAGCTGTGCTGTCCCAGCACACCTGAGAGCAGAGCAGCCCAGTGGGTAGCAGCTTGGCAGCTCCTTTCTGGTTCTAGTCCTGTTGTGTGTTGGTTTCATCCCAGCTCCATGTGATGAGTCTGGGGAGGAGGATGCATAAAGCCATCCTTAGCACTGCTGCCTCCAACAGATCACCCACCAAACCCTCTAGTTGCTCACAGCCACTTGCGTGTACAGGCTCCCAGCAGTCTGTGATGCTCTTACCTCATCATGCTGGTGCTGAGAAAATGGTAGTTTGTATCCAGGCAGAGCATCCTCAGAGCACCCCATGTCCCATGCTTGCTCTCGTGAGACAAAATGCCGATGGGAGCTTGCTGGATGTATTCAAAGGCATTCCTCTGGGCTGGGAGGAAAGGGCTTAGAACTCCTATATAGCAGCAATTGCCCAGCAGTAGGGGAAGGACTCACCCCCACAGCAGCTAGCAGGGAACAATGATAATTGTTGATAATTCTCAATAATGCTTTTAATCACAGGATTATGAATTACATTAGAGATTCTGGGACTGGTTTGACATACCACCTAATGCCCCCTGGCCTCTAGCGATGCAGACTGGCAGGTGTGGAGTGGCCACAGTAGCTGATGTTGGCTTGTTGGGAAAAGTCACAGCTCTGCTTGACCAGCTGAGGTGGGAGGCTGCAAAGGAAAGCTTCTGTGTAATCCCTTCTTTGAATGAGGATAACAGCTTTCTGCGACGAAGAGGGACAGAGTGAAAAAACAGTCAGGCTGCTTGGACTTTTTCCAGCACCAAAATGCAATGCTGAAAAACAGTGGATGATGTGCCAGCCTCATGCAAAATGAGGTCATTCTTTATAAATACACCCCCATGTCTGAGTAACCATCATATCCCTAGGAGCAATTTGGAAAAGCATGGATTGATCCCATGTGCATGAATGTGTTTATCACTTCTGTCCCTTTCTCTGACACCTCCAATCTTAGTATGTTCTAAAAACTGTGATTAACCCACCACCCAGCACCCCGTGATGTGAAATTCCTGCGCTTTGCTAACTCCCATGCCCAGAATCCAGAGCAGGCAGGACTTGTGTGGATAAAAATGTCCCAAGGTTTAAATTTCCAATGTGTGTGGTTTTTTTTTTTTCCCCACCCTGAGTTAGTCAGAGATGGTTTTCCCCTCCCTGGAAAGGGAGGGGCTCAGTGGTACAGGCAGGTATTCCCCTATGGTGGGAAGCTCCTTGGTGCTCCTGTGATTCAAGAATGACCATTTAAAGTCATGTTTGGGGTTGTTCTGTATTTCTTATTTCATACTTTCAGTACTGCATAGAGAGGTGCATATAATAGTACCACATCTCTTCCTCCAAAATACCATACTAATAAATTGTGCAGAAGGCAGCATACACCCAGAGACAGATGTGCTGGCCTGCAGCTGAGTTTGCTGTGACTTCCTTGGGTTTTTGTTTGTACGTACATAGATGTGTTTGTGCTGCTGTTGTGATCCAGTTCAGTCCTTGGTCCAGCAAGTGAGTAGCTCCTGATTGAGCAGAAATGTCAAGTGACCATCTCATTTTGCATTAGGAAGAATGAAGTCAGTGCTGTTATTTCATGAATCCCTGGGAAACTTTGATAGCAGAGTGACAAATGTCCCTGCAGCCCTTGGCTCCAGCTCTTCCCCTTAGGCTTTATGTGCCCTCCTCCAGCCTGCAAGAGCAGAAGCTGAGCCAGGAGCGTGCAGCAGCTCTGTGGGAGCTTTCTTCTGATTCTGTGTTTCTTTCTGCTTCCTCTGTTGGTCCAGGAAATGCATGTAAAGGGAAATCACACATGGGGTCTGGGAGAAAATCCAGGCTGATGAAGACTGTGCAGACGATGAAGAGCTACGGAAACTACCAGAACTGTACCATAGTGAGGCCACACATCCCACACTCCAGCTACGGCACGTATGTGACGCTGGCTCCCAAAGTGCTGGTGTTCCCTGTCTTTGTGCAGGTAAGTGCAGCTGGAAGCGAGGTGTTATGGATCTAATGCAATCAGTGCCCAGCACAGCAGGTTGTATCAGAGCTTGTTGCTGTAGTTAGGTCCAGGTTGTCACGCAAGGTGGATATATTTCCCAGCAGTATATACCATGAATGCATGGATCCTTTATCATCCTCAGCTCTTTCCTCTGGAGCTGGCTGTACTCAGCACAGTACTGGCTACTTTCTCAAAGGGAATTGTGTTCTGCCCAAGAGATTCTCTGTTGGAGTTTTTTCCCTTTTCAGCTTTCATATGCGGTCCTCAGCTGCTTGCTTGAGTCAGGAGAAGGTATCCCAGCTTCTGGGCTTCAGCAACCAACTTCATGTAATTGAAGATCAATACAGTTTCTTTCTGTGGGTTCTTTGTGCTGTTAATTATAGTATGAAAACACAGGCTTTTTAGTTTAGCTGGTGGCCAGCATTAAAATCATGGACAAGGATCCAGAGCAGTTCCACAAATGATTTTCTTAAAATTTAGCCCTGAATTTGGTGGTAGTAGCTCTAACTACCTCTGTGTCTTCCATTTTGTCCTTCATATGGCCAGAGCCCCCGAAAACCTCATCTGATCCTGTATATTTAGGTACGTTACTGTGAATACCTTCATTTCTGAGGCTGTGGAGAACCATCTGTCCTCCCCTGCTAGCAGCAATGACACTGTCATGTCAGCTCAGACTGGTGATTTCCTTTGGGCTCAAACCCATGATCCATGTTGTCTGTCACTCTGGCCTGAGACAGCGGACTGCCTGGGGGCAAATGTGGGGCTGGACTGGTGCTGGGGGGCAGGCTTATGCTCACCTCTGTCCTCCCTGACAGCACTTGGGTGGCTGTTCACATTAGCACCAGTGCATTCACCAGCCCTGGCTGTGTGCACAGTTTGGCTTTTTGTAGAAACACAACTGGCACTTCTGGCTCTTTACTCCCAAAACTTGTGTCTTGGATTGAGTCTGGGGTGTTTCTGCCACTTCAGGAACTGGTTTTTATGCTTCACACTGTCTCATACTGCAAGGCCCCTGTGCAGTATGAGAGCAGTATGAGAGTGAGGTACCCTCATGTGCGTGCTGGCCGTGCTGCTCAGTCAGATCGTCCTGGGCTGGTTTTGCAGGGCTTGTTCTGCAGTCAGGACAACTGAACCTGTCCTGTTCTTCTCCAGGGTTCGACAGAGAAGGCGCTGACTGGGGGGCTGAGCGTGCAGTGTGGCATGAGACAGGGCAGCCTTCTTAAAGTCACTTTAACTTACTGTGAGAATAATCCATAAAATCATGTAGCAAATATCGTTGTCTGAGGGATGTGAGAACCTAACGTGCCACTGTTGTGGTTGTGTTTCCTGCTAAAAAGCACCCATAACCGAGCCCACGCTGTGCAGAACAGTTAACGTACAAAGAGGCAAGCGGCTGATTGTCTTTTTATAGATGGGTCTGACGTAGGTGTTAAGTGTAAGGCTTTCTTTTTATCGTGTAGCTGGACTGCAGACTTTCTGTCCTTTTGAGAGCAATGTGGGGTGGCTTCTCCCTGAATGAGTTACTGCTTAAAGTAAAGACAAAGCGGGTTTGGTGGGCGGAAAGTTTTTCTGGCAAACCACACTTCCAGTGGAAGGTTTGACTGTCTCTTTCTGTTTCTTTTTTTTTTTTTTTTTTCCTTTCAAATGTAGCCCCTAGATCTTTGCAACCCAGCCCGGACTCTGCTTCTGTCAGAGGAGCTGCTTCTTCATGAGAGCAGAAGCAGGACTATACAGGTAAGACTCTTTCCATGCTGTCTGAGCTTTCTAAACATGTTCTTCTGCAGTCTTACATAGTAGATTGAGAAGGGAAATGTTTTATTGTGCAGTGCTTATATTAATATGATAATTGGAAAAATTTGCAGTCAGTTTATCTGGGGTAAACTATATAGCAAAACTCTTCTCTGCTAGAAATCAACTTCTTTTTCTTGTCTTCCTTCGTGCTCACAAAGAAGAAACTGCGCATGGCAAATGCATGCCGGTTACAGCCACGCAGTTGAGGCCACTGGCAGACTTGGAAAGAGGGAGTTTAAGAATATTTTGTGCAAGGTTAGAGAACTAGACAGAAAACTTGTTACAGGTGTTTTCAGAAATTTAGTTCCTGAAACAGTTCATATGTCTTGTCCAAATTCCTCTCTTTTTTCTTTCTTCTGCTTCTTTTCTGCGATGTTATTGGAGGGCTGTTAAAAATCTGGGGAAACAACTAATCTGTGGCTACATGCTGAACCTATGTATGTGACAACTTTCAACATCCAAACTGGCAGAGTTTGGGAGTGTTGATTACGTTGGCTGCTGGTTTCACTTGTATCCAACTGTAAAGTCTGCAAAGCCCTGGAATTTGGGACAGAGGAAGCAGCAGCTGGGAGAGCCCGCTCATGCATTGCTCACTAGTGCTGAAGGAAACTGCCATTTCTTTTGGGGCATTTTCAAAGAATCTCACCGCTGTACAGAATAATTTTGTTTTGAATTTGTCATCTTCACAGAGCCACAGAGGAATTTTTACTTGACTAATCTTAGTTTCTGGGTAACACCTTGTGGTGGGTTGACGCTGGCTGGATGCCAGGTGCCCACCA